TGTTTTCCAGTGTTTGCTGGGCTTTCTGTAAGTGAACCCATGTACCCTGAAATGTGGAAAAAGTGATTCCGAAGCAAAGAAACGATGGGGCAGAATTCCTTCTCTGCTGGCTTCTCCCCCTCCAGGCTGTTCAGTGCCCTGGGCCCTCAGGTCCCTGCCCCCCCTGTGCTGCACACGCTAAGCACCAGGACTGGGACATCATTAAGCCACCTTGGCACATTGCCTTCTCGCGCTCACCTCTGGGCCTTTGCACCTGCTGTTCCCTCTGCACCTGGTGTTTCACTGTAATAAACTAATGTGGGTCATAGCTTTGCTGAGTCCTGTGAATCCTTCTTGCAAATCATCAAGGCTGAGGGTGGGTTGGGCCTCCTAACACAAGGACATTCAAGGATTCAAACATAGAATAGATTTCCTCTGTGCCTCAGTTTCTTTCTCTGAAAAATGGGGGTGATAATCATCCTGCACTCTTAAGGTGGTGATGCATGTAATTAGGGTGAAGAAGCTCTCCCCAAACAAGAGAGGAAGAGCAAGAGGCATAAAGGAAAAGATGAGACATCAGATTTATTACAGTTGAAAACTCATCACACAGACACCATTTCTCACAGAAAATTCAAATGTCCAATAAACAGCAGAAAACAGACTGGCCCACTGAGGGCCTCCGGGAGGCACAGGCCACAGCCACATACCCCCACACCAATCTTCTCACCCTGGGACTCCTGTGAGAGTTTGTATCATTGTACCCCCCCTGAAACTCAGGGTAGTCTGAGATTCTGTGCATAGCCCCTGAGGATTGCTAGGAGAGAGATTGAACAGCCTAGAAAAAGTAGATGTGATCATCAAAAAACAACCCCCCAAAGGTATCCACTCATGACCCCCCAAAACCTATGATTCTTTTTTTTTTCAAAAGATTTATTTATTTATGCTTACAATAATAGGCCAGAGGTGTGGGGGGTGAGAGAACTCACCAGAGACAGAGTAGGGAACAGAACAGGCAGACTGACAAAATACACTGCTGAGGGGAGCAGAGGGTGAGTCAGGAGAGGTCTGCTGCACCATGTGGGTAGCTCCCTGGCCGGGGATCGAACTCGTGCTGCACTGGCTGCAAAGAGCTTCATAGGTTGCGTCTTATCCCCTGCACCACCAGGGAGGCCCTGTGACTCATATGGCAAAAGGGATGCGGCAGATGTGATTGAGTTGATGTTGAGGTGGGGAAAGAAACTGGCCAGGGTTATCCAGGTGGACCTAAATGCAATGACAATGTCCTTCTTAGGAGAAGACAGGGGGTGGTCTGATAGCTGCGTAGGTTGAAGGGCGCCCCCCCCCACCCGCAAGGGAAATGCCCACATAAAATCCCAGAACCATGTGAAAGTGTCCTCAAGATGAGATCATCCTGGATGACCCAGATGGATCCTGACCACGGTGGAAGTGAAAGTCCTTGTGACAGATGAGGGGTGAAAGTGAAAGTCCTGGTGAGAGACAGAGGGGGCAGCTGGGCTCAGAAGCCATGTGGGTGGCAGCAGAGATGGGCCTTGTGGCAGGAGTCATAGGAAGCTGGAGGAGGGGCAGCCAGGCCCCCCCAGCCTTTGGGAGGAGCACAGCCCTGACTACGCTCTGATTTCGGCTCAGGCAATACTGATTTCATTTCCTGGCATCCAGAACCCTAAACAGAAGAATGACTATGTCTTATTTGAAGCCACCAAGTTTGGGGTGACTTGTTTCAGCAGCTACAGACAGCTACTGGCACGGACAAAAGACTCGAAATGATACTTCATGGAAGAAGCAAACAAGAGGGCCGGGAAGCAGACAGGAAGGCCACAATGAGACCCCTGCAGATTTACCTGGAGGGTTTGATTAAAAGGAAGAAAAGGAAGAAAAGGTGGGGCAAGGGTTAAGCTTTAGCACTAAGAAGCAATCTGCAGTCAGATCCCAGCCCTGGGAGGTGACCTCTCCTGCCTTGCCCAGCTCCCCATGCATTTCAGTAGATCCGCCTGTTCTGCTCCCCACTCTGTCTCTGGTGAGTCCTCTTACCCCCCACACCTCTGGCCTGCACCCCGGCTCTTCTGTGGTCTCCCTCACATGAGATGTCATATGAGCACTGTGATGGCATTTAGGGCCCAGTTGGACACTAGAGAAAAATCACTGCATCTCAAGATCTTTCTCTTTATCCTACCTGCAAAAGCGTCGTCAAGTGAGGTGACATTCACAAGTTCTGAGGATTAGGATTTGAATTCTTTGGGTCCACCATTCAGCCCAATACAAGGCGGCAGGCCCTGGTGGCTATGGGCTGGCTGGGGCTTGGCCAAGTATCCTGAGACTCTCCTGGATTCACTGACTCAAAAAATGCCAAGCGAAAGCAGAGGGTGTGGGGCCGACGCCAGAGAGGTGCCTGCGGGGAGAAACTGAGCCTCCCTTGCCAGCTACATGAGTGAGGTTCACCTTTACCTTCATGGAACCGAGCCTGCATCCTGCGGAGTCTTGAAGCCTAGAGCCAGAACCACCCAAAATCAATCTGCTTCCAACATCCTGAGCCTTAGCAACCGTGTGAGATAACAAACGTTTACTGTTGTTCTAAGCTGTAAAGTTTCCAAGTGACGTGAGCAACAGCTAATATATGTGGCGTGAGGGGAAGGCACTGGGCGGGGGCCAGACGCCCTGCAGGTCCTTATCTGACAAATTCCCATTTCGCAGGGACACAGTGTGAGTACACAACTGGACTTGCTTAGGGGAACCGCAGAGAGCCGAGCTTTCCTCACCCACTACTGTCCCTGCTCTTTGCTTGACTGGCCCTGGCACCACCCTCCTAGGTAGGCCGCAGAGGCAGGGTGTGACCCAAGCTCTGGCTCCAGGGCTCCCAGAAGCAGCTCACGCACATGCCCAGGTCAGACAGATAATTCTGGCAGTGCCAGGGTCTGGAAGACAAAGCGAGCTCTGCTTAGAGGGCCCAGTGCCCAGCTGGAAGGTTCTTCACTGTGAAGGTAATCCGAGACATTCATCTGCCAGATGGATGGACTGACACTGGCTCTCAGTCCCTTCCGAGAAACCCTCTGCTTTTTTTTTTAAAGATTTATTTTGGGCCTCCCCGGTGGCGCAGTGGGTTGAGCGCAGCGTTGAGAAGCTGTCCGCAGCCTCTGCAGCGCGGTTTTGACTCTCGGCCGGCCAGGGAGATTCCCACATGACGCGCAGACCTCTCATGTCTCGCCTGCTGCTCCCTCAGAATGTTTTTGGTCTGTTCTGCTCCCTGCTCTGTCTCTGGTGAATTCTCTCACCCTCGCACGCCTCTAGCCTGTACCCCAGTTCTTGTAAAAATAAATAAATCTTTAAAAAAAAAAAGGGCCTCCCGGTGGCGCTGCGGTTGAGCGCTGGGTTGCGAAGCTGCCCGTGGCCTCTGAGGCGCCGGTTCGTTCCCCGGCTGCTCCCCGGCCACCGGAGGAGGGTCCCACATGGCGCGCAGACCTCTCCTGCCGCCCGCTGCTCCCCTCAGCAGTGGACTTCGGTCCTTCTGCCTGCTCTGCTCCCCGCTCTGGCTCTGGTGAATTCTCAACCCTCCCGCGCTTCTGACTGTACCCAGTGCTTGTGTAAAAACAAACAAACAAACAAACAAATAAACATGCCTCTATTAAAAAAAAAAAAAATTAAAGTTAAAAAAAAAAAAATTAAAGTTAAAAAAAAAAGAGGGGGCCTCCAGGTGGCGCAAGGGGTTAAACACCCCACTATGAAGCAATCTACAGCCTCTGCAGCACAAGTTCGATCCCCGGCTGGCCAGGGAGCAACCCACATGGCACAGCAGACCTCTCCTGTCTCGCCCGCTGCTCCCCTCAACAGTGTATTTCAGTACATCTGCCTGTTCTGCTCCCCACTCTGTCTCTGGTGAATCCTCTTACCCCACCCGGCACCTCTGGCCTGTACCCCAGTTCTTGTATGCATAAATGAATAAAAATAAATCTAAAATGTATGAAGTCTACTCTACACACTGCAAGAAGTAAAGGAAAGGCCCGAGAATAATGAAATAAGTTTGAGAAAAAAAACAACAAAACTGCCACGTTGCCTAGCAGAGACCAATGTGTTTTCTCAAGTTCCCGCGGTGCGGAGGCGGTGTTACTGGCACAGGACAGGGCGAGATGAGACAGGGCCTGAGTGCAAGGAACAGTGAAGGCCGTGCTGGGTGCAGGTGAGCAGGGGAGGCGTGAGGGCGCAGGGAACCCTGCGCTTGCTGAGCGGCCAATCCGGCCATTGGGACACTGGAGAAGGCAGAACCCGACTTGACACTCAAAAGAACGACACGCGGGGCTGGCTGTGCTTAGTCCGTGACCTAAACACAAGGAGAGTGAAGAGAAACATGAGGTGACGTGGACCCGAGGGCAGACGTCCCTGAGGTGGAGGCGGCGTGCTTCTCAAATAACTGCGGAGAAAGCAAAGGCCTGAAGGGAAGAGACTAATAGGTTTGGTGATTTTTACAGTGAAAAACCTCCTGCAGGCCCACACACTCCAGAGACAGGCAAATGTCTGACCCCGGACCCCAAACCTCTCCCTACCGGTTCCCCCCAATCCCACCGCAGGTTTGAAAATGTTTAGTTTCAGATTTGCAAGTGCTGCAAGCTCTGCTGCCCCTCCCAGCGCCTTTGGGGGGGCATTTTCATATTAGCTATAAATATTTTTAATGCATTCAATTCTTTCAGCTTTTGGTATCTCCCCGGCTCATGCCAGCCTGAGAGGCTCGTGCAGAAGACTCGCTGTGGAAAGAGGAAAGAAGCCACGGCGCCCGCCTGAGCCCCCAAGGGGGATGGGAAGCGAGCCTGACGCGGCCAAAGGGGCCGGTAAGGAGCCTGCCAAAGCGCCCCCTAACTGCACACAGGATTCCTTTTAAGGAGGGGGCTTTGGTTTCTTTGGAACAGTTGAACTTTTATGAAGAGAACGTGCAGTCTATAAAAAGTAAATATCAAGGCTCAGGGAAGGTGCGGAGCAGAGTCCATGGTGCCTCCAGGGTGTTTATCAGCCCTTACCTGGTGGAGGCACCTCTGGGTAGCCTGGCCTGGGCACCGCCACTCCAGGGCTGAGGGGAGCCCCAAAGCCGGGGTCCCCCAGTCCAAGCAAGGCCTCCTCTTCCATTTGCCATCTTCTCCAGGACATCCCACATTGGCACCGGGAGGGTCCCCTGATGGAGGAGTCCATGAGATGAAGAATGTCAACGATCCGGCGTGGGAATGAGCTTAGTGACATCAGGCATCAGCGTCCATGCATTCTTTCCCTTCTCAGGTGACCAGTCAGAACAGCAAAAGCCTGCCAGAGCCAGATGGGTGGGGGGAGGGCCTTGGTATCTGCCCATCCCTGCTCTGCTGTAGCCTCGCCGTAGGCCCAGAACAGACCAACATTTCCTGTCTGGATGCTAAACCTCGCAGCTGTACTATTTACAATAGCTAAGCTTTGGAAACAACCCAAAAGCCCAAAACAGATGACTAGATCAAGAAGATGTGGTACATATACACCATGGAATATTACTCAGCATTCAAAAAAGATAAACACATGCAATTTGCAGCAACATGGATGGAGCGGGAAGGGATCATGCTCAGCGAAATAAGCCAGAAAGAAAAAGAAAAATACCAGATGGTCTCACTCATAGCAGGAATCTAGAAAACTTAAAAAGGACCAGGAAAAGAATAACTGTAAGAGAGCCTCCCCTGTGGTGCAGCGGTTGAGTGCTGGGCTGCAAAGCTGCCCACAACCTCTGCAGCACCGGTCGATCCTCGGCCACCGGCGAGTGTCCCACATGGCGCGCAGACCTCTCCTGACTCGCCCGCTGCTCCCCTCAGCAGTGTACTTCGTCAGTCTGCCTGTTCTGTTCCCGCTCTGGCTCTGGTGAATTCTCTCACCCTCCCGCGCTTCTGACTATACCCAGTGCTTGTATAAATAAATAAATAAATCTAAAAAAATTAAAAAAAAAAAGAATAACTATAAGAAAATATCAAAATCAACAAACAACTATGAACCAGAGACACTCTATGGGATGTGGGGGCGGGGAAAGAAGGGCTTGGGGTCAAATAAGGGGGTTGTAATTGTATGGGAATATAAAAATAAAATTTAAATAAATGTGAAAAAAAAAAATATCGCAGCTGTGATTTCCTACATCCTGTCGCTCAGAAAACCCTACCTTTGAAATTTTAATGTGCCCAGAATCCCTCCCCTCTAGCCTGGCCGGTCATGTGGGTCAGCTCCCTGGCCAGGGATCGAACTCGTGCTGCAATGGCTGCCGATAGCTTCACAGTGCTGTGTCTTAACTCTTTCTGCCACCAAGGAGGCCCTTATGTTTATAATACTTATGAGGTATATATGATACATATGTATGTAGGTTTCTCTTCATTATGGAATAAATAAGACGTACTGTGTAGTCTGAAGAATATTTAGTGAAACTTTCAATCCATTGTTTATATACAGTGAGCCTCCCTGGGTGCCTAGGGGTTATGTCTCAGCGTTATCACGGCTGCAGCCTGAATTCAATCTCTGGCCAGGGAGCTACCCACATGGCGCAGCAGGCCTCTCCTGTCTCCCTGCTGCTCCCTCAGCAGTGTATTTCAGTTGATCCACCTGTTCTGCTCCCCACTCTGTCTCTAGTGAATCCTCTCACCACCCCCCACACCTCTGGCCTACGCCCCAGTTCTTCTAGGCAAAAATAAATAAAATCTTTATACACACACACACACACACACACACACACAAGACTGAGAGAATACACTGCAACGTTACATTTTATGGCAAAAATACTGCACAAATATATATGCTATACTGCACAAATTATGCGATATCTATATAGGTAGTGGGAGCTGTGAATTATATAAATATGACTAAGGCGGGTTATATAAACTATGCTTTTTATTGTGGCTTCCTGCCATACAGGGAAATGGAGGCTGAGCTCAGGGTGCGGTAGGTTATGGGGCGTCTCCAGGAATGGCTCCCGTGGGTGAGAGGAAGGAAGCAGGACCAGGCTGGGAGGAGCTGAAGTGAGATGCAGCAGCAAAGGTCAGGTCAGGGTAGGGGAGCACACAACCTCCAGAGGGACCAGTTTTTGTTCTCCACATCCCCTCCCCCGCTCATGCTGTTCCAGGGCTACAGAGTGAAGTTGGGCATCTCTGAAAGCCGTGCTATGTAGTGCCAATGTCAGTGCCAAAGCAGCCACAGAAAACACATAAGCGGGGCCTCCCTGGTTACGCAAGGGGTTAAGTCTCAGCACTATGAAGCTATCCGCAGCCACTGCAGCACGAGTTCGATCCCCGGCCAGGGAGCTACCCACATGGCACAGCAGACCTCTCCTGACTCCCCCGCTGCTCCCCTCAGCAGTGTATTTCAGTGGATCCACCTGTTCTGCTCCCCACTCTGTCTCTGGTGAGTCCACTCACGCCCTGCACCTAGTTTTTGTACACATCAAAAAATAAAAATAAATGTTAAAAAAAAAACCAAAAAACACATAAGCAGACGAGCGCACTGTATTCCAGTAAATCTTCATTTCCAGAGTCAGGTGGCGGGCAGCTGGATTTGGCCCTGAAGCCCCAGCTCCATTCAGACAGTAGAACCCCAGGCGGAGCCCACTGCCCTTCCTCGCTCCCTGGCGGCAGCCTCTAGGTGGCCTGGACCCCCCTCCTTCCCATTACCTGACCTTAGCCAGCCAGCAAGGCCTGCTCCCGGAGCCCGCCTGCACCCGGACGCCAGCTCCACAAAGGCCGTCTTCTGGGCGGGGGCCCGGTGCGCAGACAGCAGACCACGCTCTTTCCTTTGGTCAGTGTCCTCTCCTTTGTCCACGGGGCCGGGGGAGCCCGGCCTGGCCATTCAGCATCCAGGGGGGCAGCACATGCCCTGTGGGTGCTCTCGGCATCCTGGCCCTCTCCAGGCAAGGGCCTGCCCAACTGGGGAACTGATGGTCAGAGAAACCGGGGTGAATGGCGCAACTGGTCTCAAGAGACAGACTTGTCTGCACTTTTTTGGAGACTTGCTCTTACGGACACGGCCAGGGTGGGATGTCCGTCGACAGCAAGAAAGCCCCTTCTCCGCTCCTGTAGGAACGACCCCATGACAAGCCAGGGACTTCATCCGGGTCCATGTTTCCTTGCCCCTGAGCTGCTCGTCGGCCCTTAAGTTGGCTCCTCTGTTCTTAAGCCTGGTCCCCCAGACCCACATGACCTCATTACCTTCCTTAATCGTGGAGGCAGATTTAACTTGATCTCCTGCTTTCTTGCCCAGAGGCTCACAAGTAAAGCTGGTGTCTCTTCTGGAATGCCCGAAGTGGGCATCTGCGCGATGCAGGGCACCCCACTGCTGTTGGGTCCCCGAGGCCCCTGGCAGAGCCCGGGAGCACTGTCTGAGGTTTCCAGAGTGTGAATGGGGTTCTGTCCTTGGCACAGTGAAAGGCCGGAGATTCTCAGGAGGGGAGCTGCTTCCAGCCCAGCCTCTCCCCAAACCACCCCTCACAGGCAGGTGACTTGGGGAATGTGAATTGTTTGTCCTTCTGTCCCTGCCCCACCCCTCTCCTTCCCACTAGACCAGAGGCCCCGTGAGGGCAGGGCGGGGCTGTCTTGGCCACTACTGTGACCCTAACATGGCACAGGGCAGGCAGAGAGTGGGCACCACTGGCTCTTGAGTGAAAGAATAAATGAAGGTCATTTCTTCCAAGGGTCCAGGAATTCTTAAATACGCGGGGCGGAAATCACAGCAACTTGAAGACAACCGACCTGAATTACAAATTTATTCAAGCCCTCTCCCCAGTCGCAAATGTGCACAGGGTTTTAGCCTGTAAGACACTAGGACTGTGAAGCGTCTTTGGGTCTCTCCCGTCCCACCCCCGATCCCGCCCACGCAGCGGTGAAGCAGGGACTGGCCGCGGGTCAGGACACGGCAGGCTGAGGTCCGAGTCTGGGAGGCTCGAGGGCAGCGTCGGGTCAGGGTCGGGATGGCACCGGGTCAGGAGCCCGCGCTCGGCCCGTCCCACGGTCCATGTTCACACCCCACCTCAGCCTCCGCTGTGTGCCCTGGAGCAGGCGACTGACCTCTCTGCGCCTCGGTTTCCTCAGCAATGAACCCCAGCAAATGCTCTGGGATTACGTAGAGCACTTATAACAGTGCCCAGCAGCCTAACTAGAGCTCAACAAACTCGCTCTGCTACAAGAACTGCTAACGATTGACGTGATGGGGCCCTGGCCGCCAGCTACCTGTGCTCCAGA